AGTTGAATGTGTTTTGTGGAGTTCAAACAGAGATTGGTTGGTTTGCTTTCATTGCTGGCCACTGATTAGACTGTGCTGTGATCACTTCTGCACTCAAATCAGAGAGGTCAACTTTTTACCCTTATTGTTCTCTTGAGGTTTTGTGGGTTTATTATCTTCTTTATTTGTTTCAGCTCGTCTTTGTCAAACTGTCCAGTAACTAAATACAGACAGCAGCTGTGTGATTAATACGGTTCAGTCTGGTAGATCTCTCAGACTTGGTGATTGTCACCAGAACCCACCGTGGATCCTGCAGCAGGCTGTTCCATCTCTGTAATGATTGGTGTGGTGCTATTTTCCAGCTAGAATTGTGTTGCCCTTTTTTTTCCTTCTCTGTTTGATGGCTGAATTGAGTCTAGACGCCCGTGTGGACCAGAAGCAGTCCAATGATTTTGCCACAGCGCAGGCTTCCATGTCTCATTCTCCATCAAATTCAGTCTGACAGGGTTCATCAATAGTGATAAATCACTAGTTGAAATAACCGCTCCATTCCCTCACTTTCCCTCTGCAGCCACAGTGCAGTTTCCTCAGCCGTCCTCTCATCCCAGAGTAAGCCACCATCCTTCCTCATTACCTGTCATAATATGGACACTTTTGAGATGACATCTATCCTGTGATCTGATAGACAGTGATGGAAGATATGGAACAAACTTTAGAAATAACATTTCAAAAGCTGTCAAATACAGAAAAATATCTTCTTGTCCAGAAATGTTGTTTATTATTGCCCACCACTGAATGTATGTGATATTGTTTCTCTCTCTCTCTCTCTCTCTCTCTCTCTCTCTCTCTCTCTCTCTCTCTCTCTCTCTCTCTCTCTCTCTCTCTCTCTCTCTCTCTCTCTCTCTCTCTCTCTCTCTCTCTCTCTCTCTCTCTCTCTCTCTCTCTCTCTCTCTCTCTCTCTCTCTCTCTCTCTCTCTCTCTCTCTCTCTCTCTCTCTCTCTCTCTCTCTCTCTCTCTCTCTCTCTCTCTCTCTCTCTCTCTCTCTCTGTCTGTCTGTCTGTCTGTCTGTCTGTCTGTCTGTCTGTCTGTCTGTCTGTCTGTCTGTCTGTCTGTCTGTTCTGACTATATTGTTTACAAGACAATCGTGAACCATTAGATATTTAAATAGAAACAGTGTTTCCCCTAAAAAAATTTCCAGCTGTGGTGCACGGGTGGTGGACGGGTGTAATCGTTTCGGTGCTGTGCGTCGGCCGTGAGGGGGGTGGGGGGGTGCGCGTGCTCGGGACCGGTTCGCTGCCGCGTTCCATCTGTGAGAGCAGGGGGGTGGAGGAGGAAGAGAATGCGTGCGCGAAGGGGCGTAACAAGCATTATACATACACACACACATATATATATATGTATGTGTGTGTGTGTGTGTGTGTGTGTGTGTGTGTGTGTATGTGTGTATATCATCCATCCATCCATTTTCTGAATCTGCTTGTCCACATAGGGTCGTGTGGGTGGGGGGGTGGGTGTGTATGTGTGTGTGTGTGTGTGTGTGTGTGTGGGGTGGGGGTGGGGGGGTGCCTATCTCCAGCGGTCAATGGGCAAGCAGTCGGGGTACACCCTGGACAGAGAGCCAGTCCATCGCAGGGCGTGTGTATGTCAATTCAATTCAATTAAAAAATACTTTATTAATCCCAGAGGGAAATTAGAGTATATATATATAAGAGAAAATTTAAGCGTGTGAACACTGACCAAAGGAATTTCCTCTGATTATGTGAGTGGCTGCTTAAAAAGAGCCCTGATATGTTCTTAATGAGATGTTATTAGTGGAAAATAAACATAAATAGATCTAAAGATGTTACTGGTGCCTTTACTATCATTCTGTTGTGGAAAGTCAGCACAAATATTCAGTGAAAACTTTAAAAAAGCTGCTTAAACCTTCATTATTTTATAGTGGGCCTGTCTACATTTATAAAATCAGTAGATGGTTTAAAGTAACTGTAACTAAAGTTACTCAGAGTCACAGTAGAAGGTCCAGCCTGAGTTAAGCTGTGGTAACTGGAGAGGAACTGAGAAACAGCATTAAAGCTTTTGCTGTTTGCTTGTTCAAGTTTAAGTCAAATAGAATATTTAAGACATCAATTATATAATAATTGTATGTAAACTTAACAGTCATGTTAGAGATAAAAGGCAGAATAGATAAAAGAAACATTTTAACTTTATCTGGTTACACTGAAGCTTCACGTCCCACGGTGAGCAGTCTCTGTCCCTCATTTGGTGAGTTGGGATCTGGTCATCCTACTTTAGAATGATTACAGTAATTTGGAATATTTTCAGATGTTTTTATGTTTGGTGTTTTGTGAATTAGTTTCATAATAATAGTTAATTATTATATGATGATCCCCAATCATTATCTGATTAGTTATTTCAGTTTATTATATTTATCTCTCTTGAATAGTAGGACTGGTAGAAAATAACTTGCATTTAACAAAAACATTTTTTTAATGTTCTCAATAAAATAAAAGTATGTAAATGTCAGAGGTCACTACAAAACCCACTGTAGAATAGATGCACATCTGCAGCACGTGAGGACCTTGTTTGGGGGGAATTATTTTAGTTATCACTTTTTTCTCAGCCTCGGAGTTCGTGGCTTTGAAAATAGATGCATTTAAACTAAAAAATATATATATATTGTTCTTCTATGCGCGCAGTTTGCATTTTAGTACCACGTGGCTTTACGTATTATTGCTACAGCCTCGCTGTCCCGGATGTGACGTAACCCAACATGAAGTGGAAAACGAAGCGATGCAGTATTTAAAAACAATATATGAGTGTTTAACAATTGATTAGTTCTTTGCGATAGTCTTAATTTTATTTTTACAAGGTCTTGAAAAAGTCTTGCATTTAATTTTGAGATGCCTGCATATACCCTGGTCAAGGATATTTTTGAATACCAGAAGCTCAGATTTAGTGGAACATTTCCTCCGTTATTCCTTTGTCTTTCTTTTCTCTTTGCTCTTTGTTGCCCCTGTCCCCACCGAGCTGCCTCCGACTGAACGAGCGGTGTCTTTACTGAGCGTCCAGACAATCAGTCAGCCATGAGCTGTCTCAGTCAGGCTGGACTGGAGCGGACCAAGGGTGGTGAGGGCTCTGTTGTCATCAGGGGAAAATCTCAAAATGCATCTGTCTCGCACAGCTGAAAGCGCAAAACTAGCACAGAAATCTGAACTCTGGGCAAGTTGTTCCCCTGAGAGAATGACCTTCATTTTCCTATAAAACTCACAAAAAACTTTATTAGTGTATATCCCAATTTGTTTGCCGTTAACCTCATGAGCACACTGTTGTAATGCTCAGTGCTGCTGTTTGTCTTGATCACCTATTAGTTGTGTTTAATGTGCAGCGTAGATGGCATTTCCATTCAGAGCTGGCTGAGGATGGTAGAGAGCAAAGTTACTGCTGCAACTCTATGGGGCGTTTTGGGCATTTGAAGTGTTAAGTTATTAAAAACTAATTACCTGTGTTAGGTTGCTTCATGAGCAGCCTCAGTTTGAAGGATTGGGATGATGAGCTAACAGCTAGTCTGAGCATAGCCACATTCACAGAGGATTTATTGTTGCCAGTGGTGGCTGGTGAATTATTTTTTTGGGGGTCGCATTTATGTCTGTTATATGTGCCAGCCACACATTACCACTAGGGAGCACCAAACTACCATTTTTATGATAGGATCCACATTTTCTACCTCAAAAATGATGCCAAATAAAAGGGCTGAAAAAAGTCAAACACACATATTGAGAAAAATGCACAGCAGCAACAATGCAGCACGTTTAAGTTAAAGCCCAGACTCTCCTCTTTACACCAATATAAGTACCATTACTCTACCAGCAAAACTCAAGGAACTCAGCAGCAAAACAAAGATAATTTCATGAGGTCAAAAGTCTCAATTCAGTCTTACCTTTGCTGATTTTTGGTTATAATAATAATCCATGTTATAGGCTCTCCTATTCTTTGTATTGGAGTCCAGCACTCATTCGCCAGTAAGCGTAGGTCTATGGTAGAGATGGCCGCACCCAAAAGGAACAGGAAATGCGTCACAAGACAATTTGGTTGTGGTAAAAGTGTAAATAACATTTTTAGCTACACATAAATGTAGATCATACACAGACAGCACTTGTAGTCAGTATGATGTATAGATCAATTTTTTATTTTTTATTTTGTGATTCCTATCTTCCTCTTCTTCCTCTTCCTGTGAGACTGGTGGGGCGGCGCCCTAGCGCCCTCTATTTTAGCCAAACTATTAAGAAAATTCTTCAGGACTTGGCCTCAGAATCCGAAGAAGTGTTACATTTAGCTGCAGCTGCTGATATTTATGCTCGTAAATAATCCCCGACTCCATGTGAAAACGTCATTTTAATGGGTTATATACTAACACTACATAAGCAGTTTAAAAATTTGTACATTGAAGCTGATAGTAATGCACCTAGGGATGCACCGATACCGATGCTGGTATCGGTAAAAGTTTACCAATACCAGGAACCGATACCAATGCAGTTGCTTGAAAATGGCTTCACTGTAACTTGTCATTTCTGTTCACCTAACATTTTAGTTATGTGATGATTTCTTTTCATATATTTAACTTTTTATCTACCTCACAGTATTTTCCTGTTGAAAGCACATGTTGAGAAGAAAATAAAATCTGTATTCCAAATCATTGCATTGTTTTGTGTGGTAGAAGTATCAGTATCGGCGAGTATTCAAATCCAAGTATCAGTATCGTATCGGTTTGGAAAAAAGGGGTATCGTTGCATCCCTAAATGCACCTTGAGCTTGTCTGCCCTTGAACTAGCCGTTAGCTCATCAGTCACGTTGCACATAAACTGCATATGTTCAGAGACTGTTTACGAAAGCATCATTCACCTGACTAAAACATTATTATTTATTAATTTTACATATAAATGCAGTTGAAAACAACTAACCCATTTGTTTTCAGGTGATGTGTGACTGGTAACTTATGTACGTTCCTGTCTCTTCTGTTACAGGTTGATACACGGTGGCCAGTTTCTAAATGGTCTGGCCGGGCCCACCGTAATGAGTGCCGGTCCCTACCTCTCCACCACATGGTTCGCCCCTGATCAGAGAGCCACAGCAACAGCCGTGGCCTCGCTCTTCTCCTACCTGGGTGGCGCTACTTCCTTTATAGTGGGACCTCTTATTGTTCCAGCACCCAATGTTTCCCAAGCTGCAGCGGTTTCCAACACCTCCATTCAAAGCAGAACGCAACTCATTTTGTATGCAGGTACGAACAGAAAGCGAAAACCTCTAAAGGCGTGGAGGATCGATAGCACATCATTTCAACATCATGTCATCCCCGTCGAGGGACAGGAATACAATCAGGCAACAGGGATTCAAGATTTTTGCACAGACGCCAAGAGCTCCAGTTATAATCCTTGTAACTGCGCCTCTGAAAAATAGCTTGCTGAGACTGTTATGCTTAACTGATTCAGAAAATTAAAAGCATGATGAAAGAAGAAACAAGCATGCTGTAATAGATTGAGGCAGGAGCTTTGTTTAATCTAAGGTAGTATTATTAATTCTTGAAGGATGGAGCAGGCATATTTTGTGAATTGAAAGTTACAAAAGGTCATTAAAATAAAAAATTACACATATATATATATACACATATATTTATATATACGTATATATATATATATGTTTATATATGTATATATGTGTATATATGTATATACACACATATATGCACTTATGTATTTGTATATGTATACAAATACATATATATACTACATATACACACATATATATATATGTATATGTATATACATATACAAATACATATATATACTACATATACACACACACACACATATATATGTGTGTGTGTAAATATATATATATATATACACATATATGTGTATATATATGTGTGTATATATATATATATTTACACACATGTATACATATATATATATACACGTATATATATATATATATATATATATATATACACGTAAATATATATATATATATATATATGTGTGTGTGTGTGTGTGTGTGTGTGTGTGTGTGTGTGTGCGTGTGTGTGTACATATAAGCTTCTGTCAAATATTTTACAAAATCAGTTACTTTATGAAGTTGAACGTGATTAAAATTTTTTATTTTTAGTTTAAGAAATAAATTGACGGAGTGAGTGATTTGGTGTAATCCTTTAGTCTTGTCCAGTTTGGCCTCATTTTAGGATATCTTGGGATATTTAAAAGTCACTGTGACCTTTTTAAAATGCCATTTTCACCTGAGTGGTTTTTCTCTATCTGTTAAAGTTACAAGTTTCTTTCTTCATATATATTTTTTGCATCTTTCTCCTCTGACAGAATTGGCTGTGATTGCAGTGCTTTCTACAGCAACCCTGCTCTACTTCCCTTCACGCCCACCAGTCCCTCCCAGTGTGGCTGCAGCGAGCCAGAGACTCAGTTACAGGAGCAGCATCTGCAGACTTCTTAGGTAAAACCACAAACCCACTAAGCTCTAAAAGACTGATGTCCACTGAAATACCAGTCAACCTTTTGGAATGCTTGACTCGTGTCCTTGATAAAAAAAAAAAAAAAACTAAACATAAAAGAAGTGTGTTTGAAATGACTTTAAAGCACGGTCATATTTTATGACTTCAGTATCCAAGAGAGCAGTCAGAAAGACATTTGAGCTGCAGTTTCAATGTCTTCATAACTGTTCTACCCGTAGACCTTGGGTTATATTTTGCAGATTCTGCAGGCACCACTTGTCCTGCAGAGTTAGAGTGACAGAATCCAGCGCCAGAGGGACACTGAGTCAGGGTCTGCCACTCACCAACAGCTCTGATCAAAGAAACCCTCAGCCTCCCCTCCTAATTATGTGCTTAGCTCTAATACAGCAGTAAATGTTAAAAGTACACATCCTCCCCTTCATCCACACCTCCAGGGTCAGTTGTAAGTGCTGTATACTCTCAGGAGGCACCTCAGATGTCTGCGGTGGGACAAAAAAAGAGGCTCTATTAAGACAAGGTCTTGGATGCCAGTGGACTCTATTTGCTCTCTGTCAGAAAGACACAAGGGGAAGCTAAAACTGCATCGCTCTGTTTTATAATCTTGTAACACGCGCAGTCACACTTTCCATCAAGGCCATATTTATCCTCTTGGCTGTGAGGAAGCAGCATTGCCTGAGGAGCAAGCGCTCTGCCTTTTTCCTGGCTTGTAAAGGAATGAGGTCTGTGGCTGTGGTCGGGGAATTAAGGCTGGACAGCAAAAAGGAAAAGCTGGGCGATGGCAAACGGGGAGCTGGCTCCTCTTTGTAGGTTACATCTGTCTCCTTCTCGCAGCAGGAAATCACACCACTGTGGTGCCAGGCTTCCCAGAGGCCCCTGACCAACTTCTGTAAGGTTTTCCCCTCAGATGGATCTAAAAGAAGCTGTGAAGAAGCCTACCAAGTCCATGCTTCTGGACAGATGTATATTCACCCACATGGGCTCACCAGCTTAACTAGGCCATTCAGCTGAGTGGGACTCTGTTCCACTTGTGATAGGCAGCCTTCCAGTGGCCTGTTTGAGCAGCATGTTGCATCTCAGTTCAGCAGCATCAAGCCCCTTTGAGGGTCAAGATACCGAACAGACAACACACTTTCTGACCCTGTGGCACGGTTTTAACAAAAGGCCCTTAAATCATCCTCCTAAGTCAAATATTTTATTAGGCAAGAAACGTTGTGTTTGACCATTTTAGCTTCTTTTATTTCAGAGACTTGTACATTCAGACATCAGTTATTTTTAAGTTTCTGCTGAGACGCTGAACTATTTAATAAATTCTTGAGAGAAGAGCAAATCAGAGTTTTAAAAAGTAATAATTCTAGGCCTCCAATGTAAAAATCAGGCTATCTTGATACTGATGCCTTTCATCAAGTGTTAAGTTTACTGATTCATGGTTTTGACCAGTAATTAAAGAGACATTGTGTAGCTTTAACCATTAATATCTGGAAATATCCATGGAAATGTTGAAAATGAATGAAATGATGCCCAGATGTAGAAAAATATCGGTGGCTTTGTAACATATAACCATAAAAATGGGGTTTAAAATACTTGAGTGTGGGTCTAAGTCTCTGGACAATGCCATATTAGGTCTATGTATCCTTCTACAGGAGCTTATGCAGAAAAAACGCATTTACTGTTCCCCTTGCCCTCTACAGGAAGTTTAAACGAAGAGCTCTATGAACACACCGGAGGCCGGTGGCTAGGTGTAGCTACAGGAGGATCTTTGTTTTTCATCTTTGTGCATATGCGCGGGTTGCTGTGTACCAAAATCAAAAATGGCCTGCTATCAATACGCAACACACGCTTTCACATGAGTTTGTGGGTGAAATCCCCAATATATAAACACTTAAATGTCTACAAAGAGGGACCAGTTTAGAGAGAGAGGCTTAAAATCTGTATTGAACATGAAATTGAAATTATTTAAAGCCTGTTCAAGATCTGGGATGATGAAAATCAGTTCGATTCGCCAGCATTTTTTCACATATCTGCTGGGGAGACATTTATTCCTATGAAATAGAAAGCCCTGGACCCTTCGCTCATGAAAATGAAAAGCTTTCAAAAGTCTGGAGGCCTACTAATTTTGTTTTATCAGTGAAAGTCGGGCCGATCTTTTCTGCAAAACAGAAACCCGTTGTCATGCTAACAGCAGGAGCCAGCCCTGAGCGCAGAGTTACAGACTTACAGCGTTATTTACATCACCTGTGGGCGATGGCCAAAGTAAACGGATACATCCTCACTGTGACTGCAAATCTGGGTAATCAAATCAATCAAATCAAAGATACCAGTACACACAATTCAGAGACCAGACATACATGGGCAAGACACATGACAAGAATTGGTGACTGTGGTCATTCGCAACCCTGAGTCGCGCTATTTTAATAGAGATAAGAGGGTTACATGAGGATTGGTTCAGGTGGAGGGGAAAAAAATGCACTTCAGAGTTAGGCCGGGGACACACTGGCCGCGGAAGCGCCGCGAAAATGGGACCGCCTTCATTCGGCGCCCTTGTTAAGCTATTCTATAGACCACATGGGCCGCCGAAGCGCCGCGAATCGCCTCGCGCCGGCGCGCGCCGGCGCTCCAGCCCGCGCCGTGCAGCGATCATTTCGGCGTTGGCTCTATTTTTTTCGCGAGCCGCGGGTGAATCGCGTCAATTCTGGCAGGAAGTCAAACGTAGACATAAGAGGCAGGCCGGTAAAGTTAACAAAATAAACATTTCAAAATAAAATTCCGCAATAGTCAAATGTGTTCGTAAACAGACACTGCAGAAAAACCACACGAACACGCACACACATACACACACATCGAACTTGTGTGCGTGTGTGACCACGTGAAGGGGGGAGTGGTTTTGGGTGTCTTTTCACCGGAGCAAACAGGACAGAGAGGCAGAAAGTCTGAGGCAAGCAGTTAGGATGGATGACTTTAAATGAATTATGGAAGTTGAGAAACACAAGGAGCTGTACGACCCCCGAAAAACATGATTGTTTACGTACCCATGTCGGAAGAAACTGCTAGGATACAGCTGCAGAATTGGAGCGGGTTCCAAGAGATTCAACTGGCAGAAACAACTCATACCATAGGTTCACACACACACACGCGCGCGCACGCGCACGCGCACAAACACTCAAACGTAGGAAAAGAGCTGAGAAAAGGCAGAGAGGAAATGGAGGACACCAAGTGTTTAAAAGAAAAACTACAGCTGAGCCGAGGCGCGCCTCGACTGGGGCGCGTCTGATCTGAACTGAGGAGCGGCGAGCAGCGGCCGAATTTCGTGAGCGATTCGCTTCTCGGCGCTTCGCGGCGCTTCCGCGGCCGGTGTGTCCCCGGCGTTACCCTCCACCGGGAGGGCAGCTTTGCTCTGCAAAAAAAAAAAAAAAACACCTCAGACAGGTATGCAACAGACTTCAAACAACACAACATAAGTGTCCACTAGGACACCCAGGTGGGTTGGGACTATCCCCACTTCAGTTCCTGCAGCCACGATAAGCAGCGCATGTCACTTCGTGGATGGGGGAGGAGCATTGAGGGTTGGAGGGTTGCAGTGAGCCTGGAATGTTTCAGCGGCCTTCCCACAGTCCCGCCCAGGCTGGGATAGGAGACAGAGTTGAGTTGCCATAGCGACGGCACATTCCACATATCTTCTGAGGGGGGAGTTTTCGTTGGAGCTTGCAGGCTCAAGGGCACCAGATTCCGATTAGAAATTGTTTTGGGGGCCAGACAGAGATAGTTTCCTCTCTGTCTTACAGTTTGTTGGTCCTCAACCTCTCAGAATCCCAATAATGGACATTAATCTATCCCAATCCGTGCTGATTCGTCCACTCTCTCCTTGATGGCATCCATCTTTTGTGCCAAAGAATGAATCTCCGCCAAAGTTCCAAGCTTACGATTCATCTTGATTATTATGTGAGTCTGTGAATTCACAGCACGGTGCAAACCATCTCTGAGCTCCGGGATCAGGCCAATATTCCTCGACAGCTCGTTAATTTTCCGGTAAGCCAGGTAGCCTCCAAGGCCAATGAGCAGGAAACCTGACACCAGCACCACAAATATCCACACGTCTTCAGAGTCCTCCACAGACAGCTGAGATAAACAAATCAGGTTCCACTGTTTCCAGGAGTCCATGATGTGTCCAACTGGGTCTGTCGCGGAGGGGCATCTGGGAGCCCCTTCTCCCGTTCTCATAGTTAAAAAAAATGTATCAATCGCATTGAGAGACCAACTGACGAGGTCCATTTTAATGAATTTCAGTTTCCAGTTTCCAGAAAAAATGCAGAAGCAGCCGTGCACCCAGCACACACAGACAGACAAAGGGCCTTGAGGATAAGATATGGAGGAGAGGAGGAAAAAAGCGTCTGCACCCTCCAAGAGCCGGAAAAAGACTTCATTTGTCTGTTTGCTTATTTATTTATTCACTATTATAATGATCGCAGGTTAAGACACCTGAATCAGAACGTGAAAACAACATGACTCCATGAATTTAAAACTACACAAAGAAGGATGTTTTTTAAAGCATCTTCTCTGGTTAACAAATTCTTAGTCACAAAGACTTACCATGATCAAAATTATCCTCACTAACTGTCCGTTGCTGCAGGAATCCAGGTTCTCTTTGGGCAGTCCGGGTCGCCTGCAATCACCTCTTTTGTATTTTGTGGTCCTTTCCAGAGGAAAATCCTAATAAAACTTCAAAATATATATCCCACTGGCCGAATAATCAACCAAACCGCAAGAATGATCCATCTGCGTCGCTAAATCCTCCTCCAAACGTGCAAAAGAATAGTGCTACGACAAATACCAGGGATTTTTGGGAAGGCCTCACTCGAACACAAAATTAAAGCTTGCTTGCAGTGATTTAGGTATGTACTGCCCCCTATTGTCAGGAAAAATTCACGCTGTCATTTAAAAATCATGTTACCTCAATGGCGCACTACTTCCTCAGTCATGATTTATGCTTGTTGCACACAGGAAGGACGTGTGTCTCAGTTATTTGTCCCTCATAAATGACCTGGCCACTACACTGTAGAGTTTCACCTTTAACAAAACATTTAAAAATCAATTTAGAGATGTTTGATGATGCTGTGATGCATTAAACATTAGATTGTGTTTTTCACGGCTCTTAAAAGTACATGACATATTGGAACATAGATTAATCAAATATTTGGGTCAAATTAATTCAGAAAAGAATGTTTGAACCCTTCCCTCATTTTGAAGGCAAAAATTATGCTGATTTACTGACTTTTACTGCTGCATTTATTATGGGATCGTTATGGATTGTAGAATGTTCTTGCAACACACCTACCACACATGTCCACGTTCACGCTACTCTACAGTCCATGGCCATATCATGGATACATATTGCCACCAAGAAAATACACCTGAACAACCTCTGCTGAAGTCATATGCAAGCTCAAAGCCATCATCTAGTCGCCATGCTCTGTTGTTCACAATGGAGAGTTGATGACCTCACCTGGACTGTGCGAAGACCATCCATGTTCTGGCTGATTGCTGTTTTTTCTGGTCTTCTTCGCATCTAGTATAAAGGGGGGGGGGGGGCTTTACACAAATGAAGCAAGTGGACTGGTGAATTTATTCCAGCTCAAACTAACACTGAGAAAGTCATTTAGTATGCCTGGCACACATCCATTCATGTATCCACTCATCCATTTAGCCTGTCAGAATCTGAGCACATGCTAATGATCTCCAGCTTGATGAGAGCTTCGGGTTGCTCACATCTGGTTCCCGCAGCAGCAGTCTAATTAGAACTTTGGATGTGTCTAAACATTGTGCAAAATGATCCTCGTTTCCTTACGACCCCGGGAGGTTAATACTGCCCAAAGCATAGAGTATCGATCATCTTCCTGGTCAGACTCACGTTAGTTTTGGGAGTTGTCATCTTGATGCATGGCTCTCCAGCCAGGTTAGCCAAGGACGAATGGCACTTAGCTGATGACACCACCGGTTTTGAGACTTCCGTGGAAGTATTACATCACGGGCAGCAAAATGTAGGGGTACAATTTTTGTCTCCTTGCAAGAGATTCTGCTTACTTCTCGGTGTCTATATTAGATCATGTTTAAAGATAAAGGTGCTTGGATATTGATTTCCTGCTGCTGTGGCAAGGTTAATGATAGAGGTGATCTGGGAAAAGCAGAGAGAGTGCTCCATTGGGGCTTTTATGACTGTCCCTCTGCACTTTAAACCAAGGCCAAGTGGCTTTATTTTGCTTAGAAGAAGACAGGCCATCTAGCAGAGGCACAGGCGGTTTGTTTTTCAGTTGAGTCAAAGCATTCCCCAACTAAAAGTCTGGGGTGTGCCATTACTCACTGGGAAAGGGTGTGCATATTTTTCCAGAAACAATGCCTTTTATGTAGGTGATTCGTCTTTGTAGATTGTACACGTTTGAACTCAACTAACCCAAACAAGGAGCGGCAAGTGTTTTCCTGCACAATGCTGTTCAGTTTAAGAAAAATAATATGGCTCAATGAGCGTTTGAGTTAGTATCCTTTAACAAATAATAAAAAAAAAAAACAGAAAGCATCCCACCCATCCACTAGTATTTTCAAGTTTGCTGACGATACCACCGTGGTCGGCCTCTTCACAGACGGAGATGAGGCACCGTACCGGGCAGAGGTCAGTAATCTGTCGAGGTGGTGCTCAGATATCATCTGAATGTACAGAAAACAAAAGAGCTCATTCTGGATTTCAGGAGGCACAGCCACACACACACACCCCTCTCCTCATAAGTGGAGAGCGCGTGGACTGTGTCCCCTCCATCAGGTTCCTTGGCACAACCATCTCTGCCGACCTGTCCTGGTCTGCCACCACCAGAGCTTTGGTTAAAAAGGCTCAGCAGCGGCCGCACTCTCTCCGGGTCTAGAGATGGTGTGACATGGACCAGAAGCTGCTGCTGGCTTTCTATCACTGCTCCGTGGAGAGCACCTTCACCTACTCTCGTGAGTGTGTGGTATCCAGGCTCCACAGCTGAGGACAAGAAGGCTGTGCAGAGGACAATAAACACTGCCCAGAGGACCCATCCTGTCCTCTTCCTGTTTGACCTGTTGCCCTCAGGGTGCTGCTACAGGCCAGTTAAATCACATACCACCAGACTTTCCAACTGCTTCTTCCCTTGGGTCATCAGAACATGCAGCACAACAGCTCCATTCAACCCCCCACATCCGCGTCAGTAATTTGGCCTAACCGCAAATAGTCTTTATTTATTCATCTAATCTGTTTTTAAAGGGACGTAACGGACTTTTGAATTTTTATGCTTGCAATTGCCCCCTCAGGCCAAAAGCGTAACGGCAGCTTCAATAGTAGACTCGTGCACAAGGCGTGCATGATGTACGTGCACACTCCATAACGAAAATAACAGCTGAGACAGTCTCGTGTGTGTGTGTGTGTGTGTGTGTGTGTGTGTGTGTGTGTGGGTGTGTGGGTGTGTGGGTGTGGCCCGGAGGAAAGAGGACAGGAGAACGCGCAGCTAATTAATTAAATAATTTGGTTCTGTACCTTTCTCTTCAGCACAGCCGACAAAGGTTTATGATGGGTCAGTCCTCCTGCATGCTCAGATCATTCCCTTCCCTTGCTTGAAAAATTGTTCCAAAATGAAAGTTGAACCCACATCTTTTTTATCTGTGAATTCAATGCCGTTCGGCGAGTCTCAAATAAAAATTTAGGCATCGTACTGTAAAAAAATATACCATTAATGTAAAAAAGAAACTCTGAATGAACTATGTTCACACCCAGAATCGAACCCAGGTCTTCTGCATGGGAGTCAGACATCTTACAAGGTGAGCTGAAGAGCCAGTGACGTCCTTTGTATCTGTAACATTTATATCCTTTGACAGCTGAAACAACGTTCAAAGAACGGTTCGAAGCGAAAATGGCTATTTTGTTGCTAATTTGCAGGAAATATCTAGAAGAAAGTTCTACAGAAAGTAGCTAAGGGTCCTCAGAAATGTAGCTAGCTTTGTCACTAGGTGTTAGGAACAGCGACAAAGTGGCACTGCCTCTCTCTCTGCTGCTAAAGCTACGGATAGCAAATGCTACGGGCTATGCCTGAGCGTGAACGCGCATGAAGCAGCCTGCTCGACCCGGGCAGCTCTCTTTTTCTGTGATTTTACAGAAAAACAGGCAATCACAGTAAAAATGCCAGGGCTCATTCTACAGGACCAGGGCATTGCAGGAGAATGTATGAAGAAGACATTTATTATTTCTATACATGTTTTGGCTGTCAAACTTCCATATTGTCCCTTTAAACCCTTTGAAACTGTTGTTTTAGCAGATCAGAATCACCGGTTTGCTTTGCACTTTCTTGTTCTGCTAAAACGTTTTTAATTGTTTTCAGTTCTGTTTAAACATTTTGATTTTTATTGTTATTTCCTGTCTTGTGCTTTGTTGATGACGGACCATCCGAAATGTAATAGCCATGAACAATTACAAATAAATTCTATTCTATTCTATTATATTCTGTTCTGTTCTAAAAGGAACCAGCCTTAAAGTCTGCCACTTGCTCTGTTAGCCTGGCCTAATTTGTCAGACTCTTGAAGGTACTAATCACATTATTTGGTACGACGAGGCTTTGATTTCTAAACTAGTTCACCACCTGATCGGGTAGAGGGGATTAGATCGGGGTATTGGGTTCCAAGTGAATGTTTTAGGAAAGCTCAGGATCGGAGAGATAGATGCCTCATGTCGATGGAATGTTTATTTGTACCATATTAAAGAGATGTTTTAGTTTTTCCAGTTACATGCAGTTCAGTGTCAGATTAGATGATAACCAGCAAAAGCTGCGGCAGAGGAATTTTAGCCTGTTATCACAGCAGGGAGGTGGAGCCTGTTGGTGAAGTTCAAATAATTTAAATGAGTCAAGAGGAAGCCATTTTCTTATTAAATAATACAACTGAAGTTACTTTTGGCAACCGTTCCAGATGTCAGGAAATGTCAAAGCTATTGTTCAGTCATACAAGACAAACACGATCTCTTGCTGTAGTTTGTTTTCCAGCACTAGATTCAGTTGATTCAGACACACTTTGAAGGACAGAGCATCTTTTAGATGCTACCAGTAAAAAAAAAAACATCTAAATGAAACATTTGGCCCAATCAATAAACACTTGTGAATGTTTGAAGCATTTTTGTGTTTATTCATATAATATTCTTCTCTTTTAGCAACTTCCGGTTTTTGATGATTGGCTTTGCCTATGCAGTCCCCACTGGAGTGATAGCGGGCTGGTTTGGAGTCCTTGACATGGTTCTTACCCCAGCTAACATCAGCCAGGTGAGCTACAACTATGCCCAAAGTGAATATTCATGCAGCATAGTCGTTACTTTTGTAACTGGTGCATTATTAATCCTTTTCAGATGTTGGCTGTTCACAGCACCTTGGGTTTTTGTTTATCTTCCTATGTTCCACTTGGCATCTTCTAAACATACAATGTAAACAAAACCATTGAGTTGTTCTAGTTTTGGGTTAGAACAATGTGCAGGAAGTCAGGTTCAGCGAGTTTCTTCTGGGATGTGCCTGAACAGTTCTGAGCCACAACAAGTTTGGATCAACCCCATAGACTATAATGGATTCTATGTGAAGCAGCGACGTTCTGCTGCCGTTCCGCCGCTGATGCCTCCAGCGTGAACTCGGGGTTAGGCATACATTCTCCAGCATTAAACAATGATATCTCGTGAACAGCTGTGTGGATTTCAATTAAAATTCAGAACATGGACATCAAATATAAATCTACATCTGTTTAATTTTAGGGTCAGCCCAATTTATGATGGCTGCCTCTCGGGTCAATTTTACAAACATGAAGCTAAGTTTGTTGTGGTTGTAGCTGAGAGTCAGTCACAGCTTTATATACCGACACGCCGAGTGCCAGCAGATTGCATGGGGTCCTGTGATATTGCATAGAATTGCACTTAATATTTGATCAAACTGCGATACCTCCCATCAATTCTTGACTAAAGATGATTCCATTTTAGTTTCTGGCATAAAAGACATTGAGGGGTATGTGAGGAAGGATAGTGTCTGATCAAAATTTGAAGCATTAACTTTTAACAAACATAAATGAACAACAAAAAATGTAAAATAAACTTCGTTTATGTAAATGGTCAAATCACATTGCAGTAATCAGCAAAGTCTGGACGAGACCCTAATGCGTTTGTGTGCATGCACACACACACTCTGAAAAATACCAATAAAGTGTGTGACAAGAAGCCCGGTCTGGGATATTGAAGAATCGTATTATCGTTTTGAACCTACCTAGCTCATGTCTGTCACAGTGAAGTAATTTCCACCCACCTCTGGTGTGCATGGACATTGAGATGTGATAGTTATATCATAAAGGATGGGCAAAAACCAACCGTTAGATCGTTGTCCTCATCCTAGTCTCAACACGCCACATTTCAAAAGACACGGGAGCATCTTTTCAAGGTTATCATCAGACAGGTGCTGCTGTCGAGTGGATTACACACGGGATAGCAGAGGATGTGACACTTCCTCTCGTGCCTCCACTTGATGCTTCTGTCAGGAAGTAACCAAGCAAACCAGTTTGCTCCTTGATTTAATTTGTTCTCAGACGTGACACAAATTTCTTTCGTCCACGCTAGTTAACAACGCTAAAGGTGTAAAAGTGAAACTGGACTTAATAAATTTAAAAAAAGTAAAAAAAAAATGAGACACTGAATTTGTTAGGGGTATAGTCATGGCTAAAAATCAGTTTTACGATGATGTTAGTGGGTTTTAATGGAAAAAATACTGCAGCGTCTTTGAGTTGATGCCCTTCCTGCACCCACACATTCCAAACACATTCTATCTTGTTGTGTTTTCCTATTTGCTGCATGCTTTTTTAAAATTCTGTCAGATCCAAAAACCTTGTTGAAACATAACTATCTCCTAATAATGGCACAACATACAACCCAGGTTATTATTACTATTTCTCTTCCCCTGCATGTAAACCAGGCAGGTAGAGTTCCAGGCCACAACACTGAGCATTGATGGGAAGCCAGCAATTTCCCACTTTCTGCTAATTTCCCCATGCTCTCCAATAATTTGTCAATTTTTGTGTGCAAGTGGGTAATTACCTATTATAGGCTGGTTCACTCACAGACAGATGAGTACACCTCTGTTTTCCTTTTCATTGCTGATAATTGCTTCATAGTCTTTGAGCCAATAATTTGTCTTTCTGCTCCGTGCCACTTATTCTCACTTTGACCTTTGTGTTTCACATGTCGAATAATACCCACTCCTACGAATAGCTTTTCTTTACCTCATTTGGTTTTCACATTTTATTCCATCTTATTCAGCGGTTTTCCTTCACATCAGAGTTTTCCTGAAAAATACAGACGACTCTGTCATCTGTTTTCTGGGCTACACACCAAGTCTGATAGAGACGTGACAATGATGTCCCTGAAGCAGCAAGAGCCATCAGTTGTCATTGGATGACACAAATATTGCTGTTCCCTTTTTTGTTATTACTGCATCCGGAAAACATCATTCCAAGTTTTTGACAGTGTGTCTCAAATGTATTTTAGAAGTAAACCGTACAGACTGACTTCAAGGCACATAAAAGTTTCTCTATAGAAGTCAAAGACTTTGATGCTCTAAAGCAGCTCTCCGCTGTCACACTGAGATGTGAGACTGCACTAAATGACCTGGAACTGCACCAGGATTGATTATGGAGTTACAGAGATTGATTTTATAAATGACAAGAGGGGGAGCAGAGGCACACAGGGATCTGATGGCTTGGAAATAGCTCACCAGGAGGCGAAGTCATGGTTTTAACCAGGCCTGACAAAGAAAAGCATGAAGCTACTGCTCTGAACACAATTTGTTTTTAGCTTTTAAGAACAAATGTGTTATTTGTAAATGATGGGTAGATTCAGACAACTTAAGCTGAACACTAACTTAGCAGGTACACATGCAAACCCAAAGTTTTTGTACTTTTCAAAAATAGATAAAGTTGGTTGGAGAGGGGTCTCTTTTTTGTCTTCCTGGCACTCGCAGAGTACAGACGCTTCTCTTTTTGCTCCCTTATCTTTTTTTCCCCAAGGCTCTTTGTCCTGTCTGCCCACAGAGCGCTTCTCTACATTTCTTCTGAAAAACCCCTTTTTTTTAACCATGGATTTGATAAACTGGTCATTCAACACGATTGATAAGATTTTTTCAACAATGAGAATGGAGCAGGGGGCTCCCACATGTCCACAAGGGACACACCCGGCGGGGTATATGCTGGATTCCTGGAGGGAATGGAAGATCATATGCCTCTCCCAGCTGTCCATTGAGGACATCGAAGACGTGTGGATATTCGGCCTGATGATCACTGAATTTCTCCTGATTGGAGTGGGAGGATATCTGGTTTTCTGGAAATTTGGGAAGACGGGAACGATTGGAGGGCGACCCGCACCCACGGAAAGCACCATCCGTGTGGAGACTTTGCGGACTGGGACGTTGCTCGAGGTGAATCGTAAGCTGGACAATGTTCTAGCTGCGATACCGGTATTAGTGCGCAAAATGGATGTCATCTCGGAGAGTGTCACCGGACGGTATGGACAAGTTTGAAAACCCAAAATATCTTCACTGAAGGACTGGAATGATCAGTTTAAAGACTGAAGGCAGAGAGGAAAATTATCTCAGCCTGACCCAAACAAATTCTTGTTATCCGAATCTGACGCCCGAGCAGCCTTGAGAGGCTAGCAAGGAACCCCCACGAAGGAATGCAGACAGATGCTGTGAAAACCTAGCCTAGTGAACTAGACCAAATTCTTGCTTTGCAAAGTTTGGTCTAGGCACGCTCCATTGGATCCTCCGCAGCTCCTACCAGGACTCTGGCTAGCCAATCACAGCTCTCTAGAGGGGTTTCAAACACATAAAGAGCTGGGATTGGTCCACAATGGTGGGCCAATCATAGTGCTCTATCTGCTTAGTGAACAAATCACAGAGCTTTATCTGCTTTGTGGGCCAATCAGGGCACTCTATATGCCTGGTGGGTGGGATGATGCAACAGAGTGAAACAAGAGTATGTCACATTCATTGTCCAGTGGAATCCGTTTGAAAGACAAAGGTAGAACTCACCCCACAACTGAGAGCCGTCAATGGAGCGTGGCCAGACTAAATAATACATTTATTTAGTCTGGCTTGCCAGGCTAGTGGACTTCAGCCTGGCGAGGTTATCAACTTGCAGGAGTCAATGTGCTCTGCGCTTCTCCCGAGATCTCCCTCCCACCTGTGGCTTCAGTGGCTGGGCGCCGTAGATGGCTGCTCTTGCTGGGGAAAACAAGATCCCAGCCCCCCCACCCCCACCCCCCCACCCACCTTCCTATTGGAGTCTCATGTTATGTTGTGTTGTCTGGTCTGTTGCATATCTGTTGAGGTGTTTTTTGCAGAGCAAAGCTGCCCTCCTGGTGGGAGGGTCGCTGTGAAGTGCCTTTCATCCCCCCCCCACCTGAACCAATCCTCATGTAACCCTCTTTTCTCTATGAAGGCTCAGGGTTGCGAATGACCACAGTCACCAATTCTTGTCAAGTGTCTTGCCCATGTATGTCTGATATCTGAATTGTGTGTACTGAAACTCTATTTTCCCTCTGGGATTAATAAAGTATCTTTGATTTGATTTGATTGTCATACGGGAAGGCTTCTGCAAGAATCACTGAAAAGTACGTCTCAATGCCGTTACACGTCACCAGCCACAGTGGTAATGAGTTTGGCACTCAAATAAGTCAAACCAAAGATCATTTTATTAATGCAAGGACACCTTTGTAGTTCCTTTTGAGTTACATGCCAGCAATTGTGTGGAAACTATGAGGAAATAATGCAAAACTATAGCTATGCTATAAAATGATGCACCTTTTCACAAGATTGTAAAACATCAAAAGTAGTGGTTGGGTGAGGCCATTATTTGAGTTTTCAGGGGTATTTACATCTGAATGAGTTTTCTGCTTGTTTTTTCCACACTCTAACATTTGTTTCTCCTTACAGGCAAAGAGAGAGCATAAGAAACTTAACATTAGATACACATTTGATAAAATGCCACGCTAACAGGAGAAGGGGTCATGTCTTTTGCTATTTTTTCAAGGTCAGGGGAAACAGGTCCAGGAAATCACTCTCCTGACCTCCCAAACCAGAGCTGAAATATAATCCTTCCAGCAAGTTCTGGAGCCTTTTCAGTTTTTCCGGATCTGCCTGTAAAACCACAAGAGTGCCCAATCCAGGTCCTCGAGGGTCGCTATCCACCATGTTTTAGTTTTTTACCTGTTCCAACACACTTGATTCACGCTCTGCAGAGGCCTGTTAATTGAAATCAGGTGTGTTGGAGCAGGGAAACAACTAAAACATGCAGGATACCAGCCCTCCAGGACCAGGATTTGACACCCCTGCTCTAGAGAGCGGTGACCTGGACAAGTCAGGTGATCTCTCCATTAACAACTTTTTGGAGTGCTTGGCCGAGGTTGAGGACATGTTTGTCTGGAAACTTCCTGTGCCTCAACAAGCAGAAGCCTGAGGCAGTGTTGTTTGGACCAAGTTTCCATAGGGTTGACTGTGGGGTGTTCAATGGTCAGCTGAGTGCATCAGCAGCTAATCTTGGTATGAAGCTGGATGGTGTCCCCTGCTTTGACACCCACATTAACAGAGTGGTTTCGTCCTCCTTTCATCGCCTGCGTCACCTGTCTAAGGTGAACCCATTCCTGTCGAGGCCAAGACTGTAGTTCATGCCTTTGTTACAGTACGTCTGGACTACTGGAACATGGTCTTTTTTGATGTGAGCCAGGTTACTCTAGCCAGGTGGTAGCTGGTGCAAAGTGCTGCAGCCAGATTTTTAGAAGGCAAAATAAAATATGACCACATTATCTCGACTCTGGCAGCCTTAAGCTTGGTTTATGCTTGACGCGTCCGCGAGGTTCACACGGCTCCGTGCGGCAAAATTGTTTCATTTTAACAACCACGCCCCTCCACCGCGCCTCTGCACGGCCCAATCTTTCTGCACCGCGCACCTAGGAAATTTTCTAACCATGCCAGACGGTCGGACGCGGAAAAACATGGCAGACTGGCAAGAACTAGTTATGGCAGAGGTTCGTGAATACAGACATTTGTATGATTCAGCTCTCAAAGGATCAACATGTTGTTAATAATTCTTGGAGAGAAATAGCTTGCACTGTCGGAAAAGACGAGGATGCTGTTAAAAAAATGCTGGAATGCCATGTTGTAAACAACAGTAATTTTTACTTCTACTACGGTGTAGTGTTGGATGCATGCCGTAGAGCTCCATGCTGCCCCCTACAGTTTGGGAGAATATTGGCTCACCGCAGAGACAAGCCGCATGAACCATAAATGCTGCAAGTTGTGAAGCACGTTCCATCCGCGAGCCGCATCACCAAGCGGAAAGTGAATGCGTCAAGCATAAACCAAGCTTTACACTAGCTGCTCGTTGCCGTTAGAATTTGTTTTAAGATCCATTTACTGGTTTCTAAAACACTGCATGGACTGACACCACCTTACCTGGCAACATCCGGCCTTCTGTCCCAGCTCGGAGGGCCTCTTGTTGCTCTCAGTCCCAAGGTCACGCACGAAGATGATGGGAGATAGGGCTTCATGGTAACAGCCCCAAAGCTCTGGAATGAGCTTCTCTATTTCATAAGGGCATCTACCTCTGTGGCGGTTTTTTAACAAGGCTGAAATCCTGCTTTTTTGACTTGGCATTTACCTATCTTAGTTTATTTTTATTGTTGTGTTTTTATTCTTGTTTTAAATGTTTGCTTTATGGTCTTATTGTTTCTGTAAAGTGCCTTGGTGGCTTACTTTATGTCTGTAAGGCCCTATACGAATAAATTTGAGTTGAGTTGACCTGGTAGCATCCTATTTAGATTTATGAACCACCTCAGCTGACTCGTTTTGATGCGAAAGAGCAACAGCTCTGCCCAGAGCTCCTGCAGCTCTCTAAGCCCAGCCACCATATGGAGAAAGCTTATTTCAGCAGCTTGTATCTCACTCCTTTTGTCACAATCCTGATCTCGGGTATAGAAGTGATGGTTGGAACGTAGGCACGAGATTCAAGATTGTTATAGTTTTTGGTCATATCCTTTTTCACCACTGCCAACCAAATCAATGCTGTCATCACTGAAGACAGTGCCTTGATCTGTTTCTCACTACATACTACCATCACTCATGAAAATCATCAAAATATTAGAAGTTCTCTGCTTGAGGTAAAGAGTCGTCCCCAGACCAGGAGGAAACATCTTACCTGTTTATATCTGCTTGACATGGCCTCAGATTTTAATCTTGGGTTCAAGCTGCCCTGGTCCATGCTGAAAATATTGGCTTAAAGATGGCAACAGAATCAAATTATCTGCAAAAAGCTGAGATCATGCTTAAGTTTCCAAACCTGCCACCCTCCTCTTCATGACTACACCCAGACATCTTGTTTATGAGTACCACCAATGGGGTCAGAGACTAGTTGAAGCCATCGTGGAGTGCTAGGAAGAGACTTCCTGCACCTCATTCTTCTGTGACACTCACCATCATTTATTACTATAATTGTATGGGGTTCAGCGTAAACACAGTATCAGTAGCTTTTATAAATAAAGATCCTGTTAAAGTGCTGCACCTCTGACACTTGGGAACATGTGTGTGTATTTTACAGGTAGATTATGTGAGACCTGCAGATAGAATCACTGAGCACAGGGCTCACAATCAACATAATAAATACATTCCAGGAAACAGGTGCTCTAGTGTGCTCATCAGTCATATGTAGCCTTTGCTTTAATGGAGACCAATTTACTATTCAAAGGCCTAGAATGCGGATCTAATGTGTCTTAGCTTCTTTGGTTTAACATTTTTTAAATCCATAAAAAACACTTCCTGAACACCATTTATTTCACCTTTACTAGAACACTAAGTCTTTTTTGCCATTGAACACATTTTCACTATTAAAGATGGTGTATGGATATTAAAGTTTCTCACTCTCTGAGACGGAAGATCATGATGCAGTAAAGCAAGGATAAGATTTCTGTTGGTTTAAAAAGGAGAAGCAATTAAGGAAAACAAACACATAAACAGATCCGTAGCCGAGAGCTCTGGTTTTTATAGTTTCAGTCATCGTCAGCTTATTAACACACTTGCAATATAGCAGAAAAGATTCAGCTTCAAATCTGCCCTTTCCAAGGCACTAAGAATACCCTGCTTAATTACCTCCAACCCCATCACTGAACATGATACACTTTTTAGATTTAGAACGTTTTGGAACGCAATTGATAGTTGGCTTCCTAAATTGGTCTTTAAACTAATCGGTAATTATACACCTTAGAAATCTTTCGATTGATGTAGCTTAACCCATCAGAAAACCAACAGCATGGTATTGAAGCACACATGCTGTTAAGTATTTACTGTATTACAGAAATCTGATCCACACAGAAGACTCCAGAAAGGTCGTTTAGATCAAACATAATGGTGTTCTAACATTTACCACGCCTCGAGCCAGAACACGTGTTACATTTGATACCTTTGGGAGTCAACTTTGGTTTATGAGAGACTTTCCTGACATGTTGGTGCAAAGTGTGATTAAACAAAAGCATCCAGTCCTGCTGTTGATTCCGTTCCTTTGCTGTCCTGTCCTCCATCTGGTTTGATTTGGTCGAATGTGAGTTATTGGCTTTAAGAGACTGTCATTGGCACTGTGAGGTTTTCTTCGGGGTATTTCACACTGATTGGTTGTGTCGGTATGTGTGTGCCACTGCCACACAATCAGCATTAACCTCTTCTTGATTCTGTAGCAGTCCCTTGGCCATATAATTCTTCCCTCTGTGTGTATGTGTTGGATTGCATTCCTTTAAATAGGTCAGGACAACAACATACACACCTGCCACACAGCCAAGCAAAACACTTGACCTGGTACCGTGATGGAAAGGCAACTGCTCTGCAGTGGCGAATTTAGCAATTTGGGGGCCCAAGGCAAACACAGACATGGGGCCCCTTACACAAAAATTTGGACAACCTCACCTTTAACTGGATTTGCGAAACTCTCCCCTCTTCTGACATGAGTTATTTTCCCTTTTTATTAGTCCTCCTCTTTTTTCCTGTCTTTCTCTCCCTTTAAGCGCCTTCAATATTTTCTCTGCTTTCTTTTTCCTGTCAGTGCTCCTGTGCTTCTGCCTTTCTTTTTTTCTTCTTCTATTTTCCATTTCGATCTATGTTTTCCTCCCTTTAAACATTTTCCATTGTCATTCCTTTCTGCTTCCTTTGATGTTTACATAGAAAACGACATCACTTTTGGAAATGAAGATAAAATCTTTTTTAAAGCAAGCTGCTTCTTTCTCTTATTGGAGCCACTAGGATAACTCCAGTTCATGCTTAATGTTTTGACTACTGCTTCGAGTTTGTTACGAACGCTCCCGCCTCTCTTCTTCTTCTTATTTATGGTCTTATGGTGCTTGGCAAACAACAATTTGGTGCATTACTGCCACCAACTGGATTGGAGTGGTATGACTACCAATCGCTTCCTGTTTATGCATCGCCGTCTTAAATGAATAGTCCATTGTGGCATTAACAGAGGGGTGCCGGCGGTCAGGGCTAGGGGGTCCCCCCAACACAAGGGGGCCCAAGGCGGCCGCCGACCTATGCCTAATGGTAAAACCGCCACTGCTGCTCTGCTCTGCTCTGCTCTCCCTCTCCTGTCTTCTGTTTTGACCTATCATCCTACTTTTTTTCCACCCAGGTGAATGCTGGCTGGGTGGGTTTCTGGTCCACAGTTGGTGGATGTGTGTTTGGTGTGGCCATGGCCAGGTAAGTTATAACTGTATTGTTTTTAAACACTCATGAACCACTCAACAGATTTCACTGAAACCATAAGAACAGAATTATTTCACGTGTCTACAACTGCTAAAGTTGTGGTGTCACCTTGATTCAACAATGACGCTACAGCTAATCACCCTACAACAGTTTCACAGATATTGAGTTACAACAAATCTCTTGTGCTATCTTATAGAATAAGATCTTTCAAAGTTGCGTAAGATTGCACTTTTTATTATCAGACCAAAAAGCTATAATATAATTTCTCAATAGAAGATCTTGTGCACATAAAAAGTAGTGATTTATATGCAGTCTTTCCAGGAATACTAAACCTTTGGATCTTTCACTTGTGTTAATATTGGGTTTCTGTCTCATTGTGACCACTGAGTTTGGTAATCTGAGGCAAAATGAATTTGTACAATAGGCTTGCCCAAACACATTGAGGCTGCCACTTCTGCATTCTCACACCACTGAAGTGCAGCAGATACTTCCAATATTAGACACCCTAATTAACATCGCCCACAGTCCTTGAACCAGCCAATACAAAGCCCCCTGATCCGTGTCATAATGTGACTTTTGCTTTGACTGACAACTGAATGTGATTTACAAATACAAATTCAGCGTCACCCTTATGCAGGCTCACGGCTGGCCCTCACATCTCCAGTTTTTAATGGCAATTTTGTTTATTAAGCTAATACAAGCCAGCTCAGTGAAACTTGATGGACCCAGCGAGGCATCAAATTAGAAAATAAGCATTCACTGTAACACCTCATTAACAGCTGCACTCCTTACTCTCGGCTCTGTTGAACATATCCCCTTTATAATCTTCAACACTGTGTATTGTCTCATATCACTGTGTATTGTCTCATATCTACAGTGGTGTGAAAAACTATTTGCCCTCTTCCTGATTTCTTATTCTTTTGCATGCACACAAAATGTTTCTGATCATCAAACACATTTAACCATTAGTCAAAGATAACACAAGTAAACACAAAATGCAGTTTTGAAATGATGGTTTTTATTATTTAGGGAGAGAACAAAATCCAGACCTACATTGCCCTGTGTGAAACAGTAATTGCCCCCCTTGTTAAAATATAACCCAACTGTGGTGTTTCACACCTGACTTCAATTTCTGTAGCCACCCCCAAGCCTGATTACTGCCACACCTGTTTCTATCAAGAAATCACTTAAACAGTAGCTGCCTGACACAGAGAAGTAGAGCAAAAGCACCTCAAAAGCTAGTCATCATGCCAAGATCCAAAGAAATTCAAGAACAAATGAGAACAAAAGTAATTGAGATCTATCAGACTGGTAAAGGTTATAAAGCTATTTCTAAAGCTTTGGGACTCCAGCGAACCACAGTGAGAGCCATTATCCACAAATGGCAACAACATGGAACAGTAGTGAACCTTCCCAGGAGTGGGCGGCCGACCAAAATTACCCCAAGAGCGCAGAGACAACTCATCCGAGAGGTCACTAAAGACCCCAGGACAACTTCTAAAGAACTGCAGGCCTCACTTGCCTCAGTTAAGGTCAGTGTTCACGACTCCACCATAAGAGAGAGACTGGGCAAAAATGGCCTGCATGGCAGATTTCCAAGATGCAAACCACTGTTAAGCAAAAAGAACTTTAGGGCTCGTCTCAATTTTGCTAAGAAACATCTCAATGATTGCCAATACTTTTGGGAAAACACCTTGTGGACTGATGAGACAAAAGTTGAACCTTTTGGAAGGCAAATATCCCGTTACACCTGGCGTAGAAGTAACACAGCATTTCAGACAAAGAACATCGTACCAACAGTAAAATATGGTGGTGGTAGTGTGATGGTCTGGGGTTGTTTTGCTGCTTCAGGAACTGGAAGGCATGCTGTGATAAATGGAACCATGAATTCTACTGTCTACCAAAACATCCTGAAGGAGAATGTCCGGCCATCTGTTCGTCAACTAAAGCTGAAGCGATCTTGGGTGCTGCAGCAGGACAAGGACCCAAAACACACCAGCAAATCCACCTCTGAATGGCTGAAGAACAACAAAATGAAGACTTTGGAGTGGCCTAGTCAAATTCCTGACCTGAATCCTATTGAGATGCTATGGCATGACCTTAAAAAGGCGGTTCATGCTAGAAAACCCTCAAATAAAGCTGAATTACAACAATTCTGCAAAGATGAGTGGGCCAAAATTCCTCCAGAGCGCTGTAAAAGACTCGTAGCAAGTTTTCGCAAATGCTTGATTGCAGTTATTGCTGCTAATGGAGGCCCAACCAGTTATTAGGTTCAGGGGGCAATTGCTTTTTCACACAGGGCAATGTAGGTTTGAATTTTGTTCTCTCCCCAAAATAATAAAAACCATAATTTCAAAACTGCATTTTGTGTTTACTTGTGTTATCTTTGACTATTGGTTAAATGTGTTTGATGATCAGAAACATTTTGTGTGACAAACATGCAAAAGAATAAGAAATTAGGGAGGGGGCAAATCGTTTTTCACACCACTGTATAATAATAGGCCTTACTTAAAAATAACCACAACAAAAGGAGGGATAAGCTATTCCCCGGAACAAAAACAGCAACAAAAGATTTAATCTCTAATGAAACATGAAAATTAAAGAAGCTTATTTTTTGCATCTTTTTAAAATAAATATTTAATAAAGACATCCTCGGTCAGACAAGGCAGGCCCAAACGTATTGCGAGGGTCTGCTGGGAACGTCTGGCAGAGTCTCCTGTCAGAAGGAGCTTCAATTACCACCTCCGACAGAACTTACAAAATGTTCCGGGGGAGGCGGGGGACATTGAGTCTGAATTGACCCTGTTCCGCGCCTCCATTGTTGAGACGTCCGACCGGAACTGTGGTCGCAGGATCGTCGGTGCCTGTCGTGGTGGCAACCCCCGAACCCGCTGGTGGACACCGGCGGTTAGGGATGCTGTCAAGCTGAAGAAAGAGTCCTATCAGGTCTTTTTGGCCTGTGGGATTCCAGAGGCAGCTGACGGGTACTGGCAGTCCAAGCGGAACATGACTCGGGTGGTCACCAAGGCAAAAACCCGGGCATGGGAGGAGTTTGGTGAGACCATGGAGCAAGACTTCCGTATGGCTTCGAGGAGATTCTGGTCCACCATCCGGCGCCGCAGGGGGGAAAGCAGTGCGCTACCAACACTATCTATAGTGGAGACAGTGTGCTGCTGACCTCTACTCAGGACGTTGTGGATCGGTGGGCAGAATACTTTGAAGACTTCCTCAATCCCACCAACATGTCTTCCAGTGAGGAAGCAGAGTCTGGGGACTTTGCGTTGGCCTCTCAAATCTCTGAGGTCACTGAGGTGGTTAAAGAGCTCCTCTGTGGCAAGGCTCCAGGGGTGGATGAGATCCCCTCGGAGTTCCTTAAGGCTCTGAATGTTGTGGGGCTGTGTTGGCTGACACGGCTCTGCAATATCGCGTGGACATTGGGGGCAGTCCCACTGGACTGGCAGACCGGTGTGATGGTCCCTTTATTTAAAAAGGGGGACCGCAGGGTGTGTTCCAACTACAGGGGGATCACACTCCTGAGCCTTCCTGGTAAGGTCTATTCAGGGGTTCTGGAGAGGAGGGTCCATCGGATTGTTGAACCTCAGATTCAGGAGGAGCAATGTGGTTTTCGTCCTGGCCGTGGAACACTGGACCAGCTCTATACCCTTAGGGGGATCCTGGAGGGTGCATGGGAATTTGCCCAACCAGTCTACATGTGTTTTTTGGATTTGGAGAAGGCGTTTGACCGCGTCCCTTGAGGGACCCTGTGGGGGGTACTCCGGGAGTATGGGATACCAGGCTTTCTGATACAGGCTGTAAGGTCCCTGTATTACCGGTGTCAGAGCTTGGTCCGCATTGCCGGCAGTAAGTCGGGCTCGTTCCCAGTGAGAGTTGGACTCCGCCAAGGCTGCCCTTTGTCACCGATTCTGTTCATAACCTTTATGGGCAGGATTTCTAGGCGCAGCAGCCAAGGTGTGGAGGTCATCCGTTTTGGTGGCTTGAGGATCAGGTCTCTGCTTTTTGCAGATGATGTGGTCCTGCTGGCTTCATCAGAACGTGATTGTCAGCTTTCGCTGGAGCAGTTCGCAGCCGAGTGTGAAGCAGCTGGGATGAGATTCAGCTCCTCTAAATCTGAGACCATGGTCTTGATTCACAAAAGGGTAGAATGCCTCCTCCGGGTCAGGGATGAGGTCCTGCCCCAAGTGGAGGAGTTTAAGTATCTCGGGGTCTTGTTCACGAGTGAGGGAAAACTGGAGTGTGAGATCGATAGGCGGATTGGTGCTGCTTCTGCAGTGATGCGGGCATTGTACCGGTCTGTCGTGGTGAAGAGAGAGCTGAGTCAGAAGGCGAAGCTCTCGATTTACCGGTCGATCTACGTTCCTACCCTCACCTATGGTCATGAGCTTTGGGTAGTGACCGAAAGAACGAGATCGCGGATACAAGCAGTCAAAATGAGTTTTCTCCGAAGAGTGGCTGGGCTCTCCCTTAGAGATAGGGTGAGAAGCTCAGTCATTCGGGAGGGGCTCGGAGTAGACCCACTGCTCCTCCACATCGAGAGGAGCCAGTTGAGTTGGCTCGGGCATCGTCAGGATGCCTCCTGGATGCCTCCCTGGTGAGGTTTTCCGGACACGTCCAACCGGGAGGAGACTGAAAGGTAGACCCAGGACATGGTGGAGGGACTATGTCTCTCACCTGACCAGGGAACGCCTTGGGATTTCCCCAGAGGAGCTGGCCCAAGTGTCTGGGGAGAGGGAAATCTGGGCCTCTCGCCTTAGGCTACTGCCCCCGTGATCGGACTCCGGATAAGCGGATGAAAATGGATGGATGGAGTTTCACCATCTATTTTCTATCAGAAGCTAATGCAGGAGATAGGTGTAGTTACTGTTTTCATATTTAGCCAGCATGAAACACTCAGAGGGAAAATTATAATCACAAATAATGATTAGATTGTGTTTTTCAGTGAACCACACCTTTAAATGACAATTAAAGATAAAATA